TGTGATTGACATAATTTTATAAACAGGCTACACCACGGCTTTGGTTGGGTCGGAGAATGGGCAAACACAGGGTAAGTTCGATGCCTAAGGCTATGTTTGTTAAAGGAAAAACTCAAACCAAATTAATTCAACTCAAAATCTAACTTAACTTTAACTCAAACCCCACTATCCTCATTATTATCAATATAATTAAATAATAACAACCAATCATTAAATAATAACAACCAATCATTTTTATACATCATATCAACTTTAATTCACTATTCATCCACTCACATAATTTTAACTAACCATCACTTCATATCATCTCTCTCCTACTTTTACATCAAATCAATTTTAATTATTTTATTTTAAATATTATTCTAATATAAACTCAAAATCCTACTAACAACCAACTACACCACTTTTTCTAAATTAACCCTAATTAACTCAAAAAAATTCACTTTGAGTTAATTCACGCAAATTATTCAAATGCTTATTAATTATTATTGCTCTTATTGCATTTTTGCTAAATTCCCATTTTAATCAAGATCCGAGATGAGTCGCCAGCCCGCAGGCCCAAGCCCAACGGATCTTCTACGGATCGAGACCCTCCACCATGCAGACAGGGAGAAAACCGAGGCCCACATCCTCGACCTCGTCGTGTGGCTCCACCACCTCATTAGTCAGTCGCGGGCCGCCAATGGGCCCAGGCCCAAATCCCCCGTGAAATCCCCAAACCGGAAGTCCCTCCAGCTGTCGGCCCACAGGCCCGCCTCACCCTCGTCGGGACTATCAGTCGAGGACCAACTAATGCTCCATGGCGTGAGCAAACAGAAGCTGACGCCCGGGATAAGCAAAAGCCAAGAATTCGACACTTCAAAAACGAGGCTTCTGTGCAAAAACAGCAGGCTGAGCAAGAGCAGCAATCACTCACCTACACGAGAAAGCAAGCGGGACCCGTTCCCGATCAGGCGGCCTTCCTCAGTCCCGATTATCAATTTCGACATCGACCGGATAAAGGCACTGGACGTCATCGACCGAGTCGACACGATTTGAGGGGCAAAACGGTAAAAAGGACGGATCTTTCTCGTCGTTCGGCCCGGATGTCCGAGGTCTCTGTATAGAGGTAACGATTTTTTTCTTTCTTTCTTTTTTTTTTTTTTTCCTTTTTTCNTAAGTTTTTTTTTTTTAGCTTGTGGTAAATGGGAAGTGCATTGCAGTCTACTTCTTTTTTATTAGGTTGTGCATATATTGGTAGAAATTCGATCTTACAGGTGTGTGTATGCAGTACATATGTTGAGTTTTCTCACCGTTGGATCACACGAGCACGCGTATATGGCACGAATATGTGTTGATTTAACGGTAAGAAACCCAAAATCTAGTGAAACTATCATGCAGATTGGTACATTGTTTATATGTGATAAGAGTGAAAGTGTGGAGTTTTTTCTTGTTTTTTTGGAAGTAGTTTTGGGATAATAATTTGCTAAATTATGTTGGCCAAATCAAGATTGTGTACATCTTTTGCAAAATAACCTTGTTTGTAAATTGGAGATGATTTTAATATTTTGGAACTGTTTTTATTTTCTATTTTTTAATATTTTATTACGTAAAATGAGTCGAGTTCAAGTTCTTGATAATCGAGTTTGGGCTCAAGGTTTTATGGGGCTACAAAGTACAAAGCTTAGCTAGCTTGTTAAGTATACGAGTTGATAAATGAGTGCAAGTTCGGTTCATTTATATCTATATTAATGGGTAGAGTTTTGAACTTTAAAGAGATGAACTTAAGCCTTAACGAGTTGATCTATATTAGAAAATTGTATCCAAATTTAAATTTTTGACTCTTTAACAATTCAATTGTTCTCATTTACTAACAGCTCTTCTCGAAGCTGATAAGCATCCATATCCAATGATAACATTCCACTTTCGGCAAGAATTTTATGGACAGTTGCAATTTTTTTTTGTCTTTCTATTTTGTTTTGTTCCGACTTCTGAGTTGTTTCCATCATGTTGCTTGTAGTTCTCGTGTTTATTTTCGAGCAGATTTTTTCTTTATATGTATATTTATATTATTAGAACTTAATTTAGATGTAATCAAATATTGCTTTATTCAAATCATCACAAAAATATAATAAAAAAGAGTTTCAATTTTTATACTTGAAATTACAATAATTATAAAATAATACTAAACTTTTACATCACCTTTTAATAATTTAACAACATGCTTAGGATACTATCATACTATGATACACGACCCTCCAAGCATAAACAGAATTATTCCAATTTCTGTTAAAGAAAACACTGATTTATCTGCAAATCAAAAATAGAATGTCGGTGATTTAGATAGACGGCACAGCATTTTCTTACTTTTTTCCTGAAATAAAAAATTCAAAGAAATGCTGAGTCTAATCAATTATCCACCAAACAATAACTTAGTTACAAGTTACAACGATAGTTTTATTCTTCTCGTATTACTTAGTTGTTGACGATAGATTGATATCAACCACAATAAATGAGGCGACTTAATAACAGAATTATTATTGGGATTGAAAATAACGGTTTTCAAAGTTTAGGAGGAGCATAATGTGTTTGTGGTCTTCAAACTAATGTTGAAAAGAATAAAAGGATCGCGGATCTAAAATAAAAAGATCGACACAAAAAAGAAACAACAAGTGTTTATTGAATTAAAAATTTTCTTCTTATGATTCTCATTATGAACTTCAAAGGCTATTTTGTATATAAAAATATTAACTCAAAATGAGTTTTTTTGGTTAATCATAATTAATTTGAAAAAAAATATGGTTAGTTGTTAGTGGAATTTTGATTTTATATTAAAATATTATTTAAAATTGAACAATTAAAGTTGATTTGATGTAACAGTAGGAGATATATGGTGTGAAGTGATGATTAGTTAAAATTATGTGAGTTGATGAATAGTAAAATAAAATTGATTTGATGTGTAGGAATGATTAGTTGATTATATTGATAATATTGAGGATAGTGGAGTTGGGTTAAAGTTGATATTATTTAATTTTTATGCATAACATTAGTCATTTTAAAAATTGTTATGCAGTCTTTTATTTTTTTTCTAATTATTTATCATTTTAGATAATTATTTCAATAATAAATTATATAATACAAATTTTAAACCATAAGAATATCATAATTAGATTATATCATGTAGAAAAAATTAACTAAAATGTATAAATAAAGAGCCTTATGATTAGAAGCGTAATATATGATATAAAATTTTCATTTGAATAACTATTTCAATTATATAATGAAAAATCTGAAACTTGAAAAAGATAATAATTAATTTATAATACAGAAAAAAACAATTAATATATAGAGACATATTGTTAGAAAGGTAACATGTGACTATAAAATTAGTAAGATTTATAGGGAATAACATTAGATAATCAGATATTTTGTTATTTTTAATTTAAAACAATACTTATGTTTGTAAATGTAAAAGGATATATATTAGTTAAATATTTGGTGCTTTGCAATAGCTAAGATGGTGAAGAAAGGAACCTTACGATACATGACAATCCACATATAGTAGGCAAAAAAAATTGTTCTTTAAGAATATTAATATACTTTTATACCCACTTCCTATATAAACTCAATTTATGAACCCATATCGAATGATTTTAGATAATAGATATTGCATCAATGGAATTGTGAGGAAAAAGATGTTATATGTACAAGTTTCACAACATTCAATACAATATAGATTCTTTCTTTATATATATGAAAATGCTAGAAGAATATAATGTTCTCCCAATGTATTGTTTTCACTAATAAGTGTAACATGGTTTAATGGATAAAATTCCTTTTGTTTTTGTATTTTATCGTTTTTATGAAATATCTGAATGTCACTTATTCAATAGGCATAATTATATGCATGAATTTATAACCAAATTGGTCCACAAAAAATGTTTTTGGTGAAAGTCCAAATCAAATACATACTTTATGGATCACCTATATGTATAAACAACCCCAACTCGATCTTTAACAAAACCAGCTTATAAACGAGCTCGAATTCGGTTCATTGATCAATATTAACGAGCGGAGCTATTTATAGAAATTACATAAAAGCCATTTTTTTTACTCTTAACAAGTTTAGTCGAAAACAAGCAGATACACAAGCTCGAGTTCGGTTCATTGATCAATATTAATAAGCGGAGCTATCTATAGAAATTACATAAAAGCCATATTTTTTGAATCTTAACAAGTTTAGTCGAACTTGACTTGTTAATTAAACGAGCAGGAACTCATGAATGATTCATTTTATTTAAAAGCCATAGAGATGTTTTTAGGTCACTGTATTTTGATGGTAGTAAAAAGGAATTAAAAAAACAACTAAGTGAAGTGCATAACATTAAAGGAGAACTAAAGAAATTCTGAAACTATATTTTTGGGTGGAACCATTTCTTTATTTCAATTACATCATTTTTTATTTCTGGAATTATATATTGTTTTTCTTGTGTTCACAATTACAAATAATATTTTCTATTTGTACATATCTATTTGCGACTCTTGAAATAGCAAGCTAGAGACTAGAGTTGACTATCCGTAATTACGTGAGTTCCTGATGTATATATATAAACTAATATGAAAAGGAGATTACCATATCACTCGTGTATGAACCTATATTAATATTTTACACTGCAACACACGATGAGGAGCTCATTATATTCAAATGTATACCGCTGCACAATTTACTTGGGTGATCTAAACTCCTCAAATAATTTTGATTTGATCAATATTTTTTATTTCAGCTCATTTTTATTACATGATCTAGTTAATTTGACTACTAGATTTTCACCTATATTTAATAGACATACCCCCACATATCATAGTCAAACCTGATTCTCTTCTCTTTTTTTACCTCCATTCCAAAAAAGCTGCAATAGATAAATAAAATTTCTTGACCATACATGTCTTCAAATTGCTTTTTAATTTACTCTTTCTATTTATATATTGCCTTTATATTATTTATTTTTTAACCCAAATAAAATAAAAAATCCAATGGATAATAGGATACCAAAAAAAAACCACTATAAATATCACTTCCACAACACACACAAACCAACAAAATCCCAATTCACTACTATCAAAATACTCAAAACACAAAAAAAGTAATGGAAACCGTGGGACCACCCGAGCCTCTGTACAAGATCATCCTTGTGGCGGCAATAGCCGCCGGCGTCCAATTTGGGTGGGCCCTACAGCTCTCCCTACTCACCCCATATGTGCAGCTGCTGGGCATACCCCACGCTTGGGCCGCCTTCATCTGGCTATGTGGGCCCATCTCGGGCCTCCTCGTCCAGCCCATCGTGGGCTTCTACAGCGACAACTGCACGTCGCGGTTCGGCCGCCGCCGCCCTTTTATAGCCGCGGGATCCGGCCTCGTTGCAGTTGCAGTCTTCCTGATCGGCTTCGCGGCCGATTTGGGCCACGCCAGTGGGGACTCGCTCGACAGGGCTGCCAAGCCTCGGGCAATAGCTGTCTTTGTCGTCGGATTTTGGATTCTCGATGTCGCCAACAATACGTTGCAGGTAAAAACCCAAGAAGATTAATTCAAAAGAAGCATTTTTCGGCAAATCGCTAGCTAGCTCCTCTGTTTTTCACTCCTATTCGAATCGAATCCTTATAGAATTTATGACGCATATCTGCACATAATCACGCCTAGTAATTCGAATTTGATATATATATATATATATATATATATATTACCTCTTCATTAGGTAGCTGAAATATCAATATGCGACCATATTTCTACATTTCGATATATTACCACATAATCATAATAATCACATAATTAAAATTCAATATTACCTCTAATCTTGATTAGGTACCAAAATATCTCGAATCCCAAGTAAGCTTAGAGATCATGATCGAGTCACCACAACTTTTTTCTTCCTACTCAATTTCGACTAAACTCGCCCCAAAAGTGCGAATTAGTCATCGTTATTCAAAATTGTTCAAATTTACGACACATATTTACACATAACCGCATAATTTACGACACACATTTTCACATAAACTAAACTAATTTCAAATCCGAATAAACTAAACTAAGTAACTAACCATCTTTTTATGATCAAATAAATTTTCCCGCCAAAAACAGGGGCCATGCAGGGCACTTCTGGCCGACTTATCGCATGGCAGCTCGAGAAAAATGAGCACGGCTAACGCGCTCTACTCCTTCTTCATGGCTGTTGGAAATGTGCTCGGTTATGCCGCGGGCTCGTACACGCACCTCTACCGAGTCTTCCCCTTTTCGAAAACCCGAGCCTGCGATGTTTACTGCGCGAACCTAAAGTCGTGCTTTTTTATCTCCATTGCCTTACTACTCACCGTCACTATAGTGGCGCTAACCGTCGTTCGAGAGTCCGTTTTTGTACCCGAGCCGGAGCCGGCGCAAAACGGGAAGAGAAAAATCCCGGTTTTCGGGGAATTATTCTCTGCGCTGCGGGGCCTGCCGAGGCCGATGTGGGTGCTTTTGCTGGTGACGTGTCTGAATTGGGTGGCGTGGTTCCCGTTTCTTTTGTTTGATACGGACTGGATGGGCAGGGAAGTGTTTGGGGGTAATGTGGGGAATGGGTTGTATGATAGAGGGGTAAGGGCCGGGGCATTGGGCCTGATGCTCAACTCCGTGGTGTTGGGCCTGGCCTCGTTAGGGGTGCAGGCCGTGGCGCGTGGGCCCGGGAGGGTGAAGAAGTTGTGGGGAGGGGTGAATTTTGTGCTGGCGGCGTGTTTGGCAATGACGGTTGTGATTACGAAGTCAGCGCAGGAGGGGCGGAGGCACGGCGGCGGGGAGAATCAACCGGCGGCGGGGGTGAAGGTTGGGGCGCTGGCGCTTTTCGCGGTGCTCGGCGTGCCTTTGGCGGTGAGTTTCCCTCTTTTTTTTATTTTATTTATTTTTTTGGTGTGATTGTGAAAAAATTATGTGTGTGACTAATTTGGAATACGATAATTTTACTATGTTTTTTATTTAATTAAAGAAAATATTTGTGTAATTTGTAGGATAGAAATGAATCTTCATGGATAAAATGGAATATTTGGGAAGTAATTAGATTTTCGTATAGTGATTGGAGACTTTAATTAGAGTAAATTTGGGCTTGCTTTGATCGACCCCCTAGTTTTGCATTATGATTCATGATTTGTTATTTTTGGTTAGATAATTTATGTGGACAAAACAGATTTATATCTTATCAGTTTTAATCCCTTTTCATTTTGATTGGATACAAAATATTTTTAGAAACTGGACTATTAATTTTATTTTAATTTTGACTCAAATCAATTATTGCCACATTTATCAACAAAAAATTTATCCACCCGCTAATATTATTTATACCACCAATCAACATGTAAATATTTTTATATCACATTAATTTTAATATTTATAATTTTATTTTATATACATTCAAATGTAATAAATACTTTTAATTTTAATCCAACTTTTTTTTACCAGAAGATCTCTTCTCAGTGGTGACAATGTTTTTTTGGAGAAAATCTATATCCAATGCCCCCTTTATTTAATAGAAAAAAGTTATTTGTACAATTATTTTGTATAACATTTTATGCATACACAATTATCTTAGAATTAGTTTTATTCATTTCAAACTTGTTTAGGAATGGGGTTATTGTCATTAAATAGAAACTTATTTGATTGAGGAGAAAGTTCGATTCCTTTTCCTTAGGACAAAGAATAGCATAAATGCATTTTTGGCATTAGATGCAAGTATGTAACTATGATGAAATAAAAGACTGACCAAGAATCCGATACTACGGTCAGCCACCAAAAGTTAAAAATTTGGTTCCTTTCCTAATAATTCTCATATCAGAAATATACTACGGTTAGATATTTATATATATTTATAGAATATCATATTTTAAATCGATGTCATATCATTTTTAATTAACTTCATAATGTTAAGGTTTTCCTACCAGGACCTTTTGTGATTGGAATATTCTAGAAATTTGAAGGTCACAATTCCTTTTCCTTTTACTTTTTCAGGCGACTTTCAGCATTCCATTTGCTTTGGCTTCCATATTTTCCAGTAATTCAGGCGCTGGACAAGGTAAAACAAAACTAAGCATATATCACAACAATTATAATTATGATTATATTTTTTTTTGTTTGTGATTATATTTTGTCTATTTTTTCTTTTATTATTTCTGAACAATTATCTCATTATCAGGTCTGTCTCTGGGAGTTCTAAATCTTGCAATTGTCATTCCACAGGTAACATTTTACTAATATATTATCCATTTGTCTCTCAATTGGCTCGTAAAAAAAAAAATTGCTGGTCGACCTACAAATTTCATTTTATTTACACATTGACAAAGCTTTTTTATTTTTAATTACAAATATATGAGAAAAATGGCAATTTTATTCCACTAACTTGGAGTGCTTCCCATTTTGACCCAATAATTTATTGGAGTATGAAATTTGTTCAATAACCCTTAAATTTTATGTCAATTTGGTCTAAAATGGTCAAATAACTTTAAAATTTAAACTACTGGACCAATTTTGAACCAAATAATTATTGGATTCCGACCTTTACAATCGAAACAAATTAGCTAAAATTGAAGAGTTATCGAATCAATTTCAGACCTCAATCAATTACTGGACAAAAATAACACACCTGAAGTTAATGGACCACAACTGTAATTCTCCTTAAATATACCATATTTTATCGTTTACAAATGATTGATTTGTAATTTATTTTGTCATTGATTTCTAAATTGCATTATTCTATTAATTTATGAAATATAATTGAAAAGTGCAGTAAATATGTAAAAGAGGGTCTTTATTTAAATCAATCGTAAATTTTCGGATCTTGTTTTTCAAATGTAGATGTTCGTGTCGGTGGTTAGCGGGCCGTGGGACGAGCTATTCGGAGGCGGAAACTTGCCGGCGTTCGTGGTGGGTGCGGTGGCAGCTGCCGCCAGCGGCATTTTCGCCCTCACGATGTTGCCATCGCCGCCTAGTGACGCCAAGGTTGTGACCACCGCCGGAGGATTTCATTGAATTAAACAGATGGTTTTTATGTACCATTTTATAAGTTGTCTATTGGGCTTGTTCGTTTTTTACAGCCCCTTTTAACATTAACGTGTAATATAAGAAAATTATGGCAACAATATATAAGTGCACGCTCGCTAAGTGTGATATGATGTGATGACTATTATTTTTGAAGTGCTATGGGTTTGTAATGGCCCTAACTAAACAAGTAGCTTTTTGGAATTTGTTCAATGTTGTGCAATGGTAATTTGGTGGGGATTTTTGTTTAGTTTGCTTGTAATTGTATACTTTATTGTATGAATTCTCATTTTTCATAATATGCTTTTATTTCGTTAGAAGTATGTTTGTCTTCTACGCTTTATCGTATCGTGGTAGTTTGATATCTTTAAACAACTTTGAAATTAGTTACATGTTATTGTAGTTGATAACATTCTCATTACTCATAGAATAGGTTATATTATAGGAGTGATTATATATTTGGATATTCAAAAATAATCAAAATCACAATCATACAATTAACAGCCATTGCACAACAATTTCCCAACATATAATTTCCAATAATACCACAAAAAATCTTTTATTTAAAATTGATTACAGAACATGCAAATAATTCTCTTGCAACAAAACAACAAGCTGAATAAATATTGAATAAAGAAATTAAGTAAAAGTTACAGTCTGAAATTCAATAAAGAAATTCAATTCTCCATAAAAATAAGTTCACGATCAATGTCCACCACCGGCCACCAAAATCCTGGCCGATCCACCGTCCGGAGATGGGATCGTCGGCAGTACAGTGATGGCCAAAACGGCACTTATTACGGCAGCCACCGCTCCCATCACAAACGCCGGCAGGTTGCCGCCGCCAAATGCCTCATCCAACGGCCCACTCGACACCGACACTATCATCTGAGGAATCACTATAGCAAGATTGAGAAGCCCAAGAGATAAACCTGTCCATATTAAAAAAGAAAAAAATAATTCTCATTTGATCAAGAACTAAGTAAGTAACACTAACACAACATTATATGTTTTTTGTGTTGTTGAAAAATTCACCTTGTCCAGCAGTTGTGGAGTTTGATGAATAGATTGAAGCCAGAGCAAATGGAAGACTAAAGTTCACCTACACCAACACAAAAAACAAAAAACACGACGAATCAATCAAAATTCCTTTCCGACTCAACATTTGTTCCCCAAACAAAAAAAAATAAAATAAAAAAAAATCTAACTCACCGCGAGAGGAATTCCGAGTACAGCAAAGATAGCCAGAGCACCATTCTTCACGTCAGCTGGTGGAGCCGAGAGGCTCCCGCCAGCCACAGCCCTCGCGTGCTCGGCCATCTTCGTGATGAGAACCATCATTCCCAATCCAACGGCCAAGATCATGTTAACTCCTCCCCACAACTGCTTCACTCGATTAATCCCCGTAGCCATTGCCTGCACACCCAACGACGAAAAACCGAGCACGATAGCCTGCAACATGAGGCCCACAGCCCCCGCACGCACCCCACGATCATACAAATCCTCTCCCACTGTCCCACCGTACACTTCCCTACCCATCCAATCCGTGTCGTACAGAAGAAAAGGAAACCACGCGACCCAATTAATGCTGGTGACCAGGAATAGCAGCCACATGGACTTGGGCAGCCCCTTGAGAGCTCCCATTATCTTAAACCCTTTGCTTCCATTTTGAGCCGCCTCAGCCTTCCTTGCAGCGGCCGAACCGGACTTCTCCCGAACAATGCTGAGGGCTATAGTCGTCAGAGTCAGCAGCAGCGTAGCAGAGATTATGAAACAACTCTTGAGATTCGCGCAGTACACGTCGCAAGCCGTGGTCATCGTGAAGGGAAAGATCCTGTACAGCTTGGTGTACGAACCTGCTGCGTACCCCAGCACGTTCCCCACCGCCATGAAGAACGAGAAGAGTGCGTTTGCCGTGCTTATCTTTCGGGCGTCCCCATTAGACAAATCCGCAAGCATTGCCCTGCACGGCCCCTGAATTCCGAGCCCCAAATCATCATCAAACTATTTTCCGAGTGACGAATAAAAAAATTAAAAAAAGGAAAAAATACCTGCACGGTGTTGTTGGCAACATCGAGAATCCAAAAACCGATCACGAAAATGAGGAGTGCTTTGGGCTTAGGGACGGTTTTCTCGAGCGGGTCACCAAAATTGTGGCCCATGTCAGCGGCATAACCGATTAGAACAACGGCCACAGCCACAAGGGCTGCGCCGGAAGCAATGAAGGGGACACGCCTCCCGAGCTTGTCGCTGAAGTAGCCGACAATGGGCTGGACGAGCAGGCCTGAAACGGGCCCGGTAAGCCAGACTATAGACGCCCATTGATGGGCCACTCCTAATAGTTGGGTGTAGGGAGTGAGGAGAGATAGCTGAAGGGCCCAACCGAACTGGAGTCCGGCTGCAATGGATGCAATGAGGACAATGTGCAGAGTTGAACCTGCCGAACCTGAATCCAAACCTTTCTCGTCTGTCATGGTTCGTGTCTCGGTTGTGAATTTACACAATCTAGTGATATATTTGTTGAATATATACACGAAATGTGGCGAGAGAAGAAAAGCTATTGCTCGATTTGTTCAAAATTGGGCAGACAGGAAAAATCGGAACTCGATGT